TATATTTTATTGATTTTTTAAAAAGAGGGAGGGAGAAGGAAAGAGAGAGAAACATCGATGTGAGAGCAAAACATCGATTAGCTGCTTCCTGCAGAGTCCCTACCAGTGACTGAGCCCGCAACCGAGCATGTGCCCTGACTGGGAATCAAACTGGCCGTCTTTCAGTGCACAGGATGATACCTAACCAACTGAGCCACACAGGCCAGGGCTATCTATTTGTCTATTGATGGATATTTGGGTTCCTTCCAACGTTTGCTATTACAAACGGGGATATTATAAACATTCTCAAATGTGTCTTCTTATGCTCAAATGCAAAGCTTTCTTTAGGCAAAATTAGGGATGGAATTTCAGGGTCATAGAATATAGTTAATGTTAGCTTTACTAGGTAATTCCAAATGTGAAATTACCACTTACCACTAAAAATAAAAATCTCTGCCAATCTAACAGGTAAAATTTAAGTCTCATTGTTTAAATTTGCATTTCTTTCCTTACATTTATTTCATTATCACATTTTTAAAAAGTTGTTCATTGTCATTTGTAGTTTTTCTTTCCTGGATTCTCTGTATCCTCAATTCATTTTTCTATTGGTTTGCTGGTATTTTTCTTAAGGACTTTAAGAAACCTTTATATATTAAGGATAGTACTTGTTACAGATATATCCCCTCCATTCTTAAATTGAGATATAATTGACACAGAACATTATATTAGTTTTGGGTATGCAGCACAATTTGATATTTGTATATATTGTGAAATGTTCACCACAATGTCTGGTTAACATGTGTCACCATACATAGTTACAGGTTTTTTTCTTGTGATTAGAACTTCTAAGATCTACTTTTTGCAACTTTCAAATATACAATACAGTATTATAAACTATAGTACATTACATCCACAGGACTTTCTTTTATAACTGGAAGTTTGTACCATTTGATCCTCTTCACCAATTTCACCCACCTCTGGCAACCACCAATGTATTCTCTGTATCTATCCCCCCTCCCCTATATTCCATATATAAGTGAGATCATACAGTACAGTGGGGCCTTGACTTACGAGTGTCCCGACTAACGAGTTTTTTGAGATACCAGCTGTCTCTCGGCTGATTTTTTGCATTGAGTTGATAGAGTAATTTGAGTTAACGAGCTCCTTAACTAGCTCCTTAACGAGCTTGGTCTCGGAATGAATTAAACTCGTAAGTCAAGGCCCCACTGTATTTGCCTTTCTCTGACTTATTTCACTTAACATAATGCTTAGCATGCTGTCTTTTTTTTATCTTATAGTTTGATTTCTGCTGATTTTTGTCATTTGGAACTTAAAAATTTTTAAAAAAATATATTTGTATTGATTTCAGAGAGGAAAGGAGAGAGAGAGAGAGAGAGAGAGAGAGAGAGAGAGAGAGAGAGAGAGACTCCTGCAGGCCCCCTACTGGGGATCGAGCCCACAACCTGGGCATGTACCCTTGACCAGAATCGAACCTGGGACCCTTCAGTCCACAGGCTGACGCTCTATGCACTGAGCCAAACCAGCTAGGGCTTTTAAATTTTCATGCAGTCAGAGCCACCATTCTTTTTCTTTGCAGTTTCTGCTCTTTCTGCTGTCAGAGCCATGCTTAAACATAGTTTTCCACTCCAGGATGACTGTTTGCTAAGGTGACTTTATTTTTCAGACACGCTGCACCTTGTGGTTTTCCAAAGTTGCTGACCAGAGGTAGTAATGGCTGGGTCGGGGTGTGACCCAGATGATATTTCTGCTATGCAGATTTTAGAAGCAAAAGTGGTGATGACGTTTTATTATCTGGACACTTGTCTTCATCCTACAGAGAATAAAAAGTGAACTGAGCCCTGACCGGTTTGGCTCAGTGGATAGAGCGTCGGCCTGCGGACTGAAGGGTCCCAGGTTCGATTCCGGTCAAGGGCATGTACCTTGATTGCGGGCACATCCCCAGTGGGGGGTGTGCAGGAGGCAGCTGATCGATGTTTCTCTCTCATCAATGTTTCTAACTCTCTATCCCTCTCCCTTCCTCTCTGTAAAAAATCAATAAAATATAAAAAAAAAAAAGTGAACTGAGCTGTGCTGAGGCCAATTCGTTGCTTCTTCTACAAGGAGGTAGAAGTAATGGTGTCTGCTCCCCGGACCCCAGCAAATAGGCTGGGCTCATTATAGCAGGGAAATTTCACCAAAGTGAGAATACCTGAGGGACGTGAGTGGCCTGCCAACCAGGAAGAAAGGAACTCTCCAGCAATAGCCTGGCATGGGCTCCCCTCCCACAGGGGCTGTTGACTGCTCAGGCTTTTACAATTCTCAGCCCTGTTCCAAGGAGCTTTTGTGGTTTAAATCAATGTGCTTCTGGGAATAAGTGCCCTTATTATTCCTAGTTTAAATTGTGCTCTTCTACCACGGTGACATAATGCCCTTTGTGCCGCTGTACAATAGCATTCCTTTCAGGAATCTCTAAGAGCTCTCTAATTAGGACCCACAGACCACATGACAGACGTAGAAACAGAAGCCTGGGGACAGAGATGACAAAGCTTCACCTTGGTCACCAGGGAGCCAAGCCCAGGTCTGACTCCTCCTGGGAGACTGCAGGGTCTGGCTACCCCGCTGTCTAGGAGCGGACCCCAGCGGTGGCTGCAGTATTGTTAGGCTGCCGAGCGCATGGCGGGGAGTGCTGGGCCCTTGCAGTACTGCTTGGACGTACCTTAGCAGTTGAGCTATCGGGTTGAGGACTGAGAACTGGAAATTCCCAGCGCTGGCTGAGCAATAGCTCTTGAGTTTATCATCAATGCTCCCTCCGTGACTAAGTTTCTAGGATGAGGAACTGTATTAAGTAAGGCGAGGTCACTTGAAACTGAATTCTGTATTAAGTAATTAAACCTGATTGACTGCCTACTGTGTGCAAAGATGAACTCCTAGTCCCCGCTGTGGATGTTCACATCCTAACGGGGAAGAGGAGACAGATATGGAAGCAAGGAGTTATAAGAAGCTGAGTGCTTGAAGAGACAGCAGACCAGAAGGTTAGGGCCGCACCCAGCTTTGTGGGGCTTTCCGGAAAGCTCCTTGGAGAGGAGGACTTTCATCTGGGCAAGTTTTCAGAGGTGGATGGCGCCTGCTACTCAGAGCCATGGGGAGGAGAGCATTGCATGCTGACGGCCAAGTGTGTGCCAAGGCCTGGAGGTGTGCAATGCACTGGGGATCAGAGAACAAGAGGATGTCAACATGTCTAAGGTGGCCATTGTTATCCCAGGACTCTTCCATTTTTATAGCCAAAACTCTGTCCCTTTTAATTCTCAATATCTTTATTTTGGATGTTGAACAGATTGAGCTTGTTTTTCTGCCTTTGTATTATTGCTTTAACCCTCACTTCTCAGGGCGCTGTGGGTGCCTCTGATTAGGGAAAGATCATGTGTTGGGGAGTGCCCCCAAAGAAAATCACTGAGATGAATATTTCACTTCATTATAAAGGAACCTTGGGCACAAAATCAGCAGGGTTGTTTTTCTTTATCATCCATATAGCAAAAACATGGCCGTGGCTGACTCCCGATATTACCTGTTACAGGTCCAGCTCCCAGAGGGAGGCCCTGTGGTCTAAAGCTTGAGGAGTAGAAGCCGTAGCTGAAACCAGGTGGAGGTGGGGGTGCGAGAGGAAACGTGAGCTGGCCAGCAATCTAACAGATGATGACCCACACAGAAGTGAGAGCCTGGATTTGAGCTCTGTGCGTCTGAGTGGCAGCTGGCTCTGAAGTTGGGCTGGATTGGAGCGGCCACCCCTGGCTTCCTCTCCTTGCCTTTCTTTTCCTTGGTATCTTTTGTTGCCCACCCCACCTCCCACAGGGTCTTCGGGCAGCACTTTGTAAACCTCCTCAATGAGAATAATAATGTAGTGTTCCCCTCAGGTCTCACCCCAGTGCAATTTTGGTATCTCTGCTCACACTTGGCACTATAGACAAACAGTGATCTATGTGACATATGTGACAATCGCTGACCACAGCTTCCTGGGAGTAGGGATTCTACCTGCTGCAGGGCCTTACCTACAACAGATGCAATTGCACCATGAAAAAGAAAGGGAGAGAGAGAGAGAGAGAGAGAGAGAGAGAGAGAGAGAGAGAGAGAAAGGAAAGAAGGAAATAAGGATAAGCAGGGAAGAGCCCAAATCATTCAAAGCAACAACATATTCTAAATTCTGACCGGGAGAAGGCTATTGCTGGAGGAGAGTGTAGATGAAGTTTGTCAAACTCAAAGGCTAACACAGGCCAAATAAACGAGGCATGTGGCCCGCGGGCCGCGAGTTTGACATGCTTGGTGTAGATGATGCTAAGGAAGGAGACCGATGAATGGTCCTTTTTTTCTTTTCTTTTTTACTTTCTTACAAGCTCTCAGCACTAGTCCACTCCCTCCTGTCTCATACCTCAGATCAGAGCCTGAGCTGCACTCTGGACCCCCTACTGTGCCTCACAACACCAGTGGGCTGTGCTCCACTGCATGGAGGCTTGCTTTACACCTCTTGTCTCCAAAGTGAACATCAGGTCAGCGGGCAGAGCAGCCAGGACTGCCCCCTGCAGGGATGTGAACCAGGGCAGGAGGCCAAAGAATAATTAGAGGCTGATGGGGGTGGAGGGGGGGGGGTGGCGAGGGGAGGAAGACAGTGGAGGGAGCTGTTTGTTCTCATCAATAGCACGTGGTAGCACCATGTGTCCACCTTTATGCTGACTGGGAGGGCCATGCAGCCTGACTGCTTCAGGCAAGACTGAATATGATACAGGCCGGGGGGAATCCTGATATTGGTCCGGGAGAGAGTCAGGATGTGGAGACGGGCAGGATTTTCAGTGAAGGAGAGGAGTGGTCAGGTGGAGGGGAAATAAGAACAAAGCCAATGACAGTGAGAATGTGCAAACAGAGCTCATGGGATGCCCAGGAAGTTAGCAGAGGGGTGGCGAGAGGCGGGGCTTGGTGCGAGGCTGGAATCACATTGTGGAGGGTCTTCAATGAAAGACCGAACCAAGCACCCAAACCCAAGAACTGCTGTTTGTCATGGCAGCAGTCTAAACAGTTTAAACACGACAGCAAGCAGATCCCGTTGCTTTTGGTGGCTGTGCCCCTCAAAGTGAATTGGGAAAAAAAGGAAAAATAAAGGGGGTTGGGGGAGGAGAAATAAAAGGGGAGAGAGATTGAAGAATCTGGAATGTACTGGGAACCCAATGGGAACAGGGTTCCCACTGGACGAGCTGAGTGAATTGGGAAGCAGTGGGAAGAAAGGATTACTCAGAGGAGACAGGGACTAGCAGCAAGGAAAACGGGAAGCGAAAGTGATAGTCCAGGAAGATATTATGAGGTTGTGAACTAGGATGACGGTAGTGGGAACAGAAGGGAAGAAACACCGCCACGGACACCCTCCTCCCCCTTCCTCAAAAGTAGGACAGCTCTTCTCTCTGCGTAGACACATCTCTCATAAACATACAGACACACTTAGGAGGTGAGAGAAAACATAACCTCTTCACTCTCAGCTCTTTTCTCAGCTGTCAAGCCCAGGGGGCTCTCCCTCCTGGGGCCCTCCCTCCCTCCACTTCTTCCCCAATGGCCAGAGGCATTTGCTCTAAGGACAGAGAGTCACGAGGGGGTTATTTATATCTGCAGCTGAGCTGCCTGAGCCCTCTGTCTGGAGGGCATGTGGTGGGTAGGGAGCAGGGCTACACCCCATCTCCCAGGCACAGCCCTTGGCAGGAAGTCTGCCCTGCACAAGTCCTGCTGATGGAATGGGGCCAAGGGATCAGAGAGGCTGTTGGCAAAGCGATCAGATCCCTGTGGTTGGACAGAATAGCTCGCACAGTCCAAATGCCACCTTCCTTCAGTATTTAATTATTTTCACAGTTCACAAAGTTCTTACTTACGCCCAACCTAAAGTTCTTACTGCAATTTTGTCTTCATGCTCTGTTTGGGGGAGATAGCAAACTCTCTAAAACCTTTCAGCAGGAAAATAGTTCTGCTCAGTCAGGTAGACAGCGTCCATTGAATCATGGGGCTTGTGTCCAATAGATTTCATGGCAAGAACTAACTTTGGATACAAGCCCATTTACTTTGCAGTTGCTAAATAACTCAGAAAGAATGACAGAGAAGCCTGGGTTGACTCATTGAACTGGTGACACTTCTTTTTTACACTCCCCTCTTCCCCCACCTTAGGGCTCAAGGCTTGTGCGGACAGGAAAGCTCACAGATATAAATGTCCTCCTTACGAGGGAAAAGAATACATTTCTCTTGAGTCTAAGAAATTTTAGTCCCTTTAGGTTCTCAGATGACCTGGAACATCACTTTCCTCTAAGGCAGAGATGATCTGCAACATACTGCAGAGGCAACCAATACTTGGTGGGCCCCTGCCAAATAGCAGGCTTTGTGCATGTGCTATTACATTGAATCTTCACAACAGGGCAGTTGTTAGCCTCATTTCACAGAGGAAGAAGCCAAGGCTCACAAAAATGTTATGAGAGGGGGCTGACGTGGAGGCTGGAACAGTGGAGGGAGCTGCTCGTTCCCATGACCAGAACATGGTAACTGCAGCCACCATTTATCCACATTTACGGCAACCCCAAGGGTCAGCCAGTGGATCATGTATAAGACTGGGTTGACACTGGTCACAAAGGGACCAGTATAAAGTGTCAAGTCTGGCGGGAGGAATTGGGGGCGAGTGTGTTTCTGCCGGGTCTGGAGGGACAAGTATGTTTTTCAATACGAAGTAGTTAGGGTCAGAGAAGACTGCATTCTGATTAGTACTATTTCCCTGGGAGCAAGGTTTTGGGGAGTTTGCCATCTCCCTCAAACACAAAGAATTGAAGCAGGATGTTAGTTAAGATCACCCTAAGGGCTTTAGGTTGGATATTAGTGAACGGTGAAGATGGTTAGCTACCGAAGGGGCAAACGCTCAGGCTGACAGCTTTTCTGAAGGGCCACACAGGAAACGGCAGGACCTGGATAGACCTGTGCAAACTCATTCCTTTCCCCTGTCACAGGAGAAAATGATCAACCACCAAGGAAGCTCAGGCCCACCCAGCACGGTCCCAGCCTTCCCTCTCCCATGGTCTGTGCAAAAACAAGCAGTGGCATAGCCATGAACCCAAGGAGCTAGCCCATCATTGCATTCCCAGTTCCTGGCACCCGGCACATGTTCGATAAACATTTGGTGAGTAAATAAAAGGTCATCTGTTTTCAAAATTGTTTGTGTCCTTGTTGGCTGGGCCATCGGCATAGATCTGGGAAATGTGCTCCAGTTCACAAACTCCTGCTCCGACAAAAGCTGACTGAGCTATAGTGTCCCGTGGTCCCAGTGGAGTTACTTCCAGTGCTCAGGGTGAAGGAAAAATGCTTCCCATCAGCTACTCCTGGTCAGCCACGTGGGAGAGGGGCAGGGAGTTGGGAGTGCTCAGGGCCGACTCATAGGCCTCTCCTGTGTCAAGGGCCCTCCAGGAGGTTCCAGATGTGCTGAGATAGTTCTAGCCACGGCTAATATGCTCTTGAGCATCCCAGGGGACACTGCGACACTAAGTAGGACAGATCTGATGTTGCTTAAGTGATTCTGTGATTACAGTCATTTCTCCCTAATGCCCTAGTAACTTGAAATGTGACATTGATGGGTTCATGTCATCCAACAACCTGGCCAGAGCAGCAGTAGCTTCTGCAACACAAGACAATATTTACTTCTTTTTGCATGTCAGCTCATCTCCTTGAGGCTAAATATTGACTTTATACTTTAGGGGTGAACCTTTTTTCCAAATGTTCTTTCTGTTCAGCTCTGGCTTCAAAAGTAGTAGGTACCCATTTGTCTCTGATCATATCAGGAGTAGGGTCTCTGAGCAGGAAGGAACACTTGCCTTCCAAGAGCAGCAAAAGGAGAAAATGCCAAATGATGACCAGTTTTAATCACCCTAGAGCCTGTCCTGACTGCTATGTACAAGGGGAGATACTACTGGAATTTCAGAGATGGCATCTTTTTTTGCTGTTAACAGCTTTGATAAAGCCCTCTTCACACTCTCTGAAGACAGAGGTCTTTTACTGTCAATTGAGGGATCTGTCCATTTCATTTGTACTTCCCACTGCCAGCTCAGGGCCTGGCATGGTGTGGGCTCACCCCTGGAGAGGCCGTCTCCCCTACTTGCATTATTCAGTAGGCATTTCATCTACATCTCCTGACATGTGGGGAGTACTTTAGGGCTGGCCCTCCTGATCACATGCTATCTGCCTTTACTGGTGGGTGGGGGTGGGGAAGGGAAAACACGGTGGGGGGTACAAGTGTTAACAATTTACCATCACTTTGCTCATCTCCTCAAGGTGAGAGGACACATAAACAAAAAGTATCATTAGCTTCACTATTTCCAATGGTGGGATGAAACTCTTGAGGCAACACAGCCTACTTTCACCTTCCATGGTGTTGGGAAACAGAACTAGACATTAATATCTTCTCATAATTCCTCAGTCTCATTCAGTCCTAGTCCTCCATTTTAAATATTTTTGATTCACAGCCACAAATAAGCTTCATTAAAACCCACAAATAAGCCCAGCTGGTGTGGCTCAGTGGTTGAACATTGACTTATGAACCAGGAAGTCACAGTTCGATTCCCTGTCAGGGCATATGTCCGGGTTTCAGGCTCAATCCCCAGTGTGGGGTGTGCAGGAGGCAGCTGATCAATGATTCTCTCTCATCATTGATGTTTCTCTCTCTCTCCCTCACCCCTACTCTCTGAAATCAATAAAAATATATATTTTAAAAATCCACAAATAAAATCTCCCAAGAAAACCAAAAGATGAACTATGAATTATTTCTTCTCTGCAATCTGTTTTTCTTGAACTCATCCTGACTCTTGAGGATGCTGATTGGGTAAGAGGCTCATTTTCCTGATTGTTCTGATTCATTTGATATTATCTCACCTTCATAATTTTACTAAAAAAATTATCTGGAAACAACAACAAAACTACTTTTTAGTCAGGTATCACTAAACAAAAGCTACACCTGTAGACATGATCTATAAGGAAGATAATGCCCGAACATATTTCATCAAGTTTCAATCTTTAACCAGACCTAAATAATAAGCAAAGAGGGCAAATTGCACAACAAACTTGACTGTGCAGGAGAGAAATGCACTGGGAAAAGGTACATACTGAAAAATGTTTTGTAACTGTAATAGGTCTGAAAAAAGTTTAGCATTCTTCAATAGAGTGTGGGAATCAATGTCTCCAGGTCTTGGTATGTCATTAAGGAAAAAACCTGACTCACTCTATTTAAATCCCAATTACAATGAAAAATTAAATTGCTCATAGAATGAATACTTTAGACTGCATACCACAGGATAATGGACTAGCTCCAGCCAAGCCAATAAAACATAAAGCATAGCCCATGAGGTTGAAAGGTCTTCGTGTTCTTGGGTAAGAAATGGAAAGACCATAACCTCCTGGAGTGCTGCTGTTAGGCAATCTAAGCCAACTCACCAGACTTTCTGACTTCTCAATACATCCCATCATACTTTTAATGTTGGTGACAGAGGCTAACTACATTACATTACATTATGTACATTATGGGTACAACTGGGCCACTTATAAACAGATATAATCTACAGTGGCCACTGTAGATTTACGTTTTATGACAATGAGCTGGCTGTTGGCAGTGAAATGTGTTGTGCTGCAAATATAGCTCATGATCTTAAAGGGACCTGAGTTGTCAATTACTTCTCACCCGTAAAGCCAGATGACAAGGAAAAAAACACACACACTTTGTTTTTCCCTTTAAACTCAACCCCTCCTTTGAGCCAATGTCAACTTTCAAAGAGAAAAGGCCAAACACAAGCAAAGAAATGGAGATATTTATTTTAAAAAGAAATTTCCAAGGAATGTGCCTGCTTCATCTTAGGAGCTACTCCGAACCCAACTGCCCATATCATCAATCTCTGCAATGCTGTGATCCCCAATGTTCAGAAATCATGATCCCAAAGAACTGAATGATCCCAAATCCAGAAAGATCGGTTAATTATATCTAGTATACTGTGTTAAGACAAGAAAGTATATCAGTATTAGATTTTATAATGTTTTTAACCAGTATTGAAATAGAAAAAAAGGGGTTTTCTGGCTAACTAGAAAACTTC